ATACGGGACACTCTTGTGGGACACTCTATCTGGGACACTCTTGTGGGAGGCTCTTGTGAGTCGCTCTTGTAGGACACTCCTGTGGGACACTCTTGCGGGACACTCTTGTAAGACACTCTTCTGGGACACTCTTGTAGGACACTCTTCTGGGTCACTATTGTAGGAAGCTCTTGCGAGGCACTCTTGTGGGACACTCTTGATACCAATCATCCCGCTCACCGGCGACACGCCGCGTTTACACCAGCCTGTTTCGCGCTCCCCAGTGGCACAGCGCCACGCAAACGCACTTTCCACCAAGGGCGCGCAAATCCCAATGGCACTGCGACATCACGCGCGTCGCGTCGCCACACGGTCTGACCACACACTAGAATCCTAGAAGCAATCGTATCACATGATACCAGAAATCACCCCGCTCGCCAGCGACGCGCCGAGTTTACACCAGGTTGTTTCGCGCTCCGCTGTGGCATGGCGCCACACAAACACGCTTCCCACCAAGGCGGCGCGCAAATCCCGATGGCAGTCTCAGTGCAACATCACGAACGTAATTACAAGCAAACATATCACACGATACCACAAATCATCCCGCTCACCAGCGACACGCCGCGTTTACACCAGCATGTTTCGCGCTCCCCAGTGGCATGGCGCCACAAAAACGCACTTTCCACCAAGTCCGCGCAAGTCCGAATGGCACTGCGACATCACGAACGTCGTGTCGCCACACGGTCTGCCCACACACTAGAAGCAAACACATCGCTCGCCAGCGACACGCTGCGTTTACACCAGCATGTTTCGCGCTCCCCAGTGGCACGGCGCCGGGCAAACACACTTCCCACCAAGGCCGCGCAAATCCCAATGGCACTGCAACATCACGAACGAAAATTCGCCACACGGTCTGCCCATACACTGGAAGCAAACATATCACATGAGACCGCCAATCATCCCGCTCACCAGTGACAAGCCGCGTTTAGACCAGCATGCTTTGCGCTCCCCACTGGCACGGTGCCGCGCAAAGTCACTTCCCACCAAGGCCGCGCAAATCGAAATGGCACTGCAACATCAGGAACGTAATTTTGCCACACGGTCTGCCCATACACCACACTAGCAAACATATCACATGATCCCGCTCACCAGCGACGCCGCGTTTACACCAGCATGTTTCGCGCTCCCCAGTGGCACGGCGCCGCGCAATCGCACTTTCCACCAAGGCCGCGCAAATCCCGAAGGCACTGCGACATCACGAACGTCGTGTCGCCACACGGCCCATACACTAGAAGCAAACGTATCACACGATACCACAAATCATCCCGCTCACCAGCGACACGCCCCGTTTACACCAGCATGTTTCGCGCGGTCCCCTGTGCACGGCGCCACGCAAACACACTTCCCACCAAGGCCACGCAAATTTCAATGGCACTGCAACATCACGAACGTAATTTGGCCACACGTTCTGCTCATACACTACAAGCGTCTCGCGCGAAACGTTCTCCACGAACGTTTCGTACGAGACTTCCTCCAAAAGTCACGCGTCAAGCCTCTAAAACGCGCGTTTCGTACGAGACTTCCTCCAAAAGTCACACGTCAAGTCTCCAAAACGAGCGTTTCGTACGAGACTTCCTCAAAGACTAACATGTCACATGTCAATGTCTGCAAAAGGAGCGTTTCGTACGAGACTTCCTCAAAAACTCACTCGTACGAGACTTCCTCCAAAAGCCAAGCGGAAACATCCATCGGAGCACACACATCACGCAGCCCTGCCAAGCAGTTTCCAGCCCCTCCAAACAACACCCGCTCACACGCCAATCCCAATGTCACAGCGACCCTGCGCCTGCCACGAATCTTTCCGCGTCCGCACGTCTAACGCGCACAAAGTACTGCGCCTGCCACGAAATGTCACCTCCGTCACACCTTGCAACCTCACGATTCCCTGCGCCCGCCACGAAAATCGCACTTCCACACCTCAAAACCCGCGCAAAGTACTGCGCCTGCCACGAAAAGTGACAATATCATCTCATGTGAGCTTCAACAAAATTTGCACCGCACCACACGCTTGGATTGATTTTGACCCGTTCTGAGCACACTCCCATCCACAAAACAGAGCTTCGACGCCGCACCCTGAAAGGCAAACCCCAATGGCGCGGCCACATCCAACACCCCAAAAACGACTCTCCAAACGCGAACTGGGCAGCAAATTGCGGATCTCACAAAACGCTGCCGCCTGCGCAGTGAAATCATCCTCCACATTTCTACTGCAGACGGTTGCGGGCGGTTGCGGACGCAGAGACAACTCGTCGCGAACAAGGCTCTACCCCCAGACCCCCAGAGTTAAACGAGAACCCTTCGCTACGCATTCGGGAAAACACATGCGCGCCAAAAAGAACTCCTTGCCACCAAGTGACTTGTCGTGAGGCTTTGGGTTGCTGCTCTAACTGAGGTAGAAGCTCATCCCATAGCACACGTGTCAACTGCACAGCTCATGTCATCTCCATTCATGTCCCATGTTTGGTTTGCTTTGAATACTCTTGGAAAATCATCCCTTGCTCCATCAGAGTCCACAAGCATCTGATTGATGCAAACAAGCATGAACGGGATAAGTTAGCGTCGAGACAATTGCACCAACTAGGAGCCAAATGAGTAGCGCAAGCGCTTCTTCAAGGTAGGTAGTATAGGGCTAGCCCTTACTTGATGAAGTTGGCGCCTACTTAGTTAAGATTGATTAAGTAAGAGCGGGTTTAAAAAAAGAACTGGAGCTGAATCGACGTCCAGGAGAAGAACACCTGCCTGCATCACAATGCCAACACTGGAGGAACTGTTGTGGCGATGGGATGATGACCTGCAAAAAGTTGCAACTTTGCAAGAATGCTTGGGATCACGACCAAGTAGCGAAGTGAGAAAAAATACTCACAATATCTGGCCTGACCTTCCTTCAGCCAGCTATTGCCAATCTTTCTCAAGGAGAGGGCAAGGGATCAAGTATGTATGAAATGGTGAGGCGGTTCAAACATCGTGATGCAATGTCTAAGTTTGTTGTGAGCTGTGTGTGGGCCAAAGGCTCATTGAGCAAGCGTCCCCAACCCTTCTTCTCTAGCGAGCGGCGGCGGCAGCAGCAGCAGCCAGCAGCCAGCAGCCAGCAGCAGCAACAAAGCAGGAAGCGCATCGATGATATAGAATGACCTCTTAACATCCACGCAATTTTGCTGGCGCAACCCTTGGCTTTCGGTCAACTTTGAAAGGGCTGCGCAGACGGAGCTGATCTATTGCTCGCAAAAAGATCAGCGCTATCAAGAATATGTATAGATAGATATATATATATATATAGGCAACTTGTAAAAAGAACATGTGTGACGTAAATCCCCTCAAGAGGCTCAGCTCCAGGGAGAGGTTAGCCTGACAATACCAAATTGCTAAAACAAAAAATTCACCTAGCACGCTAGCCTTCGTGATTTGTCGCCTGTCCTTGGTCTACATAGAAAGCCTTTTAACTCTCCATTCAACTATACGATTGATAACGACTGCGCGCGATGAAACCCAGGCAGGAACGCCGGTCACTTTGAGGCTGCAATCAAGCGCCAGCCGGCAGGATACCAACCAGCAAGTCTACGACACCGGGATAATAAATGAACCTCTGCTTAGAACGGATTGAAGTTCAAGCGTGACTTGTTGCGCCAGGGACGACATCGTGTCACACCAGGGGCGACAAACATGTCACGTCAGCGATGACATCAGGTCATGCGCAGAATGACATCCTCACGCCGGCGATCGCATAATTTCACGGGGTGGCATCATTCGATGCCCAGAATGACATCGCGTCACGCCGGGGATGACATGACATAATGTCACGCCAGAGATGATGTCGACATCATGTCACGCCAGGCGTGACATGGTTTTTGCCGATCTTGCAAATATTTTTCGTCTGGTAGATGTTGCGCATATTGGTGGACTGGTCTGATGTTGCGCGCTGCGGTGACAGCAGTCCACGGCGTGCCCTTTAAACCCATACACCTGCTATCTGGCGTCTACGCCGGTGCAATTTTCAAACCTCCAGTTTTGCAGTTGAGCGCGGCCCTTGTTTGTTTGCTATTAATTACAGGTGATGTTGAGACGCATGACTTTGGACTTTTTAATTCGGGCTCAGACTCCTTAGTTGGATGAAGAAAACGCTCCCTTCTCTTTTCCTTTTTCTTTGCAAGGGGCTGATCACAGTAATTGGACCATACGTTTGCCCCGGTGCGCGGTGGGGCTAACAAACTGGGTGAAGTGGGCTTGCGTGACTTGAGACAAGAACGGTGGACGAAAGCTTGGTAAGCAATCGAAGGTCAGCGGCAGCAGCTGCAGCAGCAACCCCCCAAGCAGCAGCAGCAGACCACAAACCAGAAGCACAAGCAGCAGAAGCAGCAAGCAGACCAGCAGCAGCAGCAGCAGACCACCAAGCAGCAGCAACAGACCATCAAGCAGCAGCAGCAGCAACAGCAAACAACCCAGCAGCAGCAGCAGCAGCAGCAGACCATCAAGCAGCAGCAGCAGCAGCAGACCAGCAGCAGCAGACCCAGCAGTAGCAGACCAGCAGACCAGCAGCAGCAGCAGCAGACCAGTAGCAGCACCAGCACCAGCAGCAGCAGCAGCAGCAGACCACCAAGCAGCAGTAGCAGCAGCAGCAGACCACCAAGCAGCAGCAGCAGCAGCAGCAGACCACCAAGCAGCAGCAGCAGCAGACTACCAAGCAGCAGCAGCAGCAGCAGCAGCAGCAGACCACCAAGCAGCATCAGCAGCAGCTACCAAGCAGCAGCAGCAGCAGACCACCAACCAGCAGCAGCAGCAGCAGCAGCAGCAAACCACCAAGCAGCAGCAGCCAGCAGACCAAGCGGCAGCAGACCCCCACCTGCGTTAAGCTGGAACAACAATGAGGCAGTTCCGGAGATCAACTCCTCAATGACCGCAACATAGATGTTAACACTATAGTGGTCTACGTCTGTTTTGCAACGCAGCAGGTCTACAGCATTTCGACGCAAATCCAAATGATTGAATCGATTTGATATTAGGGGGGGGCCAGGGGAGGGGGGTGTCCCTGGCGTGACATGATGTCATTCTGGGCGCGACATCAAGTGATGTGGGCGTGACACGACGCCATGCCTGGCGTGACATGATGTCGTCTCTGGCGCGACATGACGTCATCCCTGGCGCGACACGACAATATATGTAAGTAATTAATCCCGGGCGTGACACGATTCCATCACGAGCGTGACATGATGTCAGTCGTCCCAGCGCCTGCGCCGGGATCGGCGCCAGCACGGCCAGCGCGCGGCACGGACAAAACGAAACGCCCACGCAGCACCAGCGCCAGCACGGACAAAACGGAACGCCAATCCAGCGCCAGCGCCAAACGATACTTCACCGATCCAGAGCCTCGCCGTTGAGAAGTAATGGGGCAATGCCGGCCCAGCACAAGCACCAGCCAGCACAGCAGCAGCGCCCACAAACAGAAACGCCGATCCAGCACCAGCAGCACGGCGGCAGCGCCCGCGAAACGAAAACGCCGATCCAGAGCCACACCATTGAGAAGTGAGGGCCCCTGTAGCTTGGAGCTATCTGGGGAACAACCCGCAACTCTACACCTGTCACGCTGTTTGAAACACATTCCCAGCCTGGAAAGGATAGCCATCCGCTCTTTGGCCTCTGAAAAGTGCTTGACATCCTTTCCGCGCACCACACACAAGAAAGAAACCTCCTCAATCTGCCAGCCGTTCAAACGGAGGTCCTGGCTGCGTCTCTGCGAAACTACTTTACATAACTTTTGAACAGCTAACTATCGAAACAAAAGTTTGCAGAGTTGGCAAAGCGTGCGTGTGTGCGCACGCGCGTGTCACGCGCATTTGCATGCGTGCACAAACATATACACGCACGTATGAATATGCATGTGTATACACACATATATGCATGTATGCATGTATGCATGCGTGTATGTATGTATGTATGTATGTGTACATAAGCATACATACGCTCGTAGGAATATATATATATATATATGTATGATATATGTAAATACGTGTGTGTGTGGCCCATGTGGCCCCCACTCCGCAAAACTTATATACCTTTGCAGGGTTGCTGTCAGGCTCTTGTGGCTATATTTCTCAGGCTTCGCCTACATATGTTTCAGGAAACTAAATCCACCTACCCCAGCTTAGCCTTCGCCTATAGATACTATAGGATACCGACGGTTGCAACTTGGCTTTGAGCGCGAGCGCGCGTGCCCATGCCTTTCCCATGGCTCACCTGGTGACCTTTGAAGGCGCCATTCTCAACACAGCCTCCCACAACCCTGGCACTGCCGTGTCACCGTGCAAAATACTGATGACAACGCAGGACGAGTCAGCCTCTAAAACCTAAAACAGAAACAGATCAACGCACCTCACAATATCTCGATGCGTTTGTTTGTCTGCCCCGAACGCACGCAAGGGTGTTCCAGACAGCACGCTGGGTTCCAGGATAGAATTCCGGCTGTGGAGCGCCATGCCAAGCCCAGACAGCCCCCAAACTGCATAAAGGCGCGTTTAATGGCCAACGTTGTCAGGCCCTGCACTGCCGGCCCGCGCTGGGCTGGCGGCGGCCATGACATCATCTCTCGATCTGGGAACAAATTAATAGACATGCTACATGGCCAGCGGAAAAGGGCGGACACCATCAGTCACAGACCTGTGAGACAAATGAATAGAAATGCTACATTGCCAGCGGAAAAGGGCGGACACGAGCAGTGACAGACCTGGGAGACAAATGAACAGAAA